CCCCGCCGGCCTCCGCCTCTGAGCATGCGCGGAACCAGAGCGCACGCGCAGAACTGGGGCGCATGCGCAGTCGCGTCCACGAAGGTTTGCGTTCTCAGTGGCCTCGGGGAGCGTGGGAACCGCGAGTGAGGTCGCTGACGCGGGCGGGCGAAGCGGCCAGTGCCGCTTGGGTGCGTTTCAGGGAAGTTCAGTTCCGGCTGAACTTGAAGAAGGAGGTAGATTCCGACAGCGCAGCTTGAGGTTGGATTCTGCGAGGTTTTCCCCTCGCTGCTCAAGTGCAGTGAAGGATGAGATTCCTGCAGAGGTGCGGTAGCTAGCAATGGTTAGAAAGGTTCTTTTGCTGCGGGACCCTCCATGTACTATTTCAACAGTCTTTGAACCTGTTTGCAAAATAGGATATCTGTCTTAGAATAGAAAGCTCATGTTTGCCAACTAAAGGAATACCTTAAAAATTTTTAAATCTTGAAACCTGGAAAAACGAAGTTGATCGTAAGATATATTTTTTGATGATTTGTTCCTCTATGTTTTCTTTTAGAGATAAAGTACTTGCTATAAAACATTTATTGCTGTCTTTCTACACAACAAAAATGATTTCTAAAAGCGACAAAGTTTTTTAGGATGGTTTCAGCAGCAGTCACTACATCTAATTCAAATGAAATTTTTGTAGGACATAAAATTTCAGGATTTAGATAGTCAGTTATTGAATGTGTGTTGTGAGAACAGAAATGGATTGCAATGTCAGCCGATTCACCTTAAGTTCAAAATTCCAACAGGCAGAAATCTCATAAACATTGCTATTCCCCATGATTAGAAGGCTAAATTATAATCTGATTGAGATTCCTAAATTATAATCTGTTCAAAATTCCAACAGGCAGAAATCTCATAAACATTGCTATTCCCCATGATTAGAAGGCTAAATTATAATCTGATTGAGATTCCTCCCTTTTATGCATATAGCATAGTATCCAATGCAGACGTTCAGATTCAAAAATATTTTTAAGTGAGCGTTTAGTTTAAGAGCTTAACATGTATAAATATGTAATCAAAGTTCTCAAAGTAGAATATATTATGGATGAGGATCCAGGGACTCAGGGGAGATAATTTCCTTAATAACTAAAAAGAATGAAGTTGTTATTTGAAACAAAGTCTCAGACTCCAGAGCTGGTGTTCTTTTGTTTTGGGGCTTTGTTATTGTTGTTTTTTGTTGTTGTTTTTTAGAACATCACTTTTATTTGTGTCTTAGGTGAAACGAAACACAAGAGATCAAATTGTTCTCAAAGTAAGAACAAGGCTTCTTTTGCAAAACAAATGAACAAACACACAAAAACAAATAACTATAAATCATATACTAATACCAAGTAAAAACACCAAGGTAACTGTATATAACAAATAAATAAATTGCCTGAAACTTACCCTTTCAAAAATAACCTAATCCAAGTCCCAAACCCACCTGAACTTTTCCTCCTGTCTGTGAATCTCTGTAACACATTTTCTGTAATTCTGTATTATCTATATTGCTTTTATACAGATAGCCATTCATTATATCTCAAGCTAGACAGTAAGTTCCCTTGAGGAGAGAGACTTGGCTGATCTACTTCTGCCATGTAACAGGCACCCCTCAAAGAGTAGCTGGCATTTATTTTTTGGCAAGCATTTATGACCTGGTTGGACTGAGAAGGATGTGTACTGGTGGTAGGATATGGAATCTAGGAGAGTAAGATACAAATTACAAAACAGTCAACATCTGATAGGCTGCTATCTAGACAAAAGGGCTAATATCGCTTTGATTTGCTAATACTAAAAGCCAGATTACAGTATAATTCTCAACAGCACAATGTTTTTTTCTTTTAAAAATATATTTTTATTGATTTCAGAGAGGAAGGGAGAGGAAGAGAGAGATAGAAACATCAGTGACGAGAGAGAACCATTGATCGGTTGCCTCCTGCACTCCCAACCCTGGCATGTGTCCTTGACCAGAATCTAACACGGGACCCTTCAGTCCAAAGGCCGATGCTCTATCCACTGAGCCAAAACAGCTAGGGCAACAGCACAATGTTTAAATGAAAAAAAACAAAACACACACTTCATTGCAACCAAAAGTTATATACCACTTGTTAACTTCTGCTCTACTGAATGTCACCAATATTTGTAAGATGATGTATAACGTGCTAAAGATATGGTCATTCAATAGAAAGCAATCCTGACGTTGCATTGTGGCTGCTGGTGAAGATGAATCTTGGAAAACCTGTGCTTCCACCTTCCTTTGCAGCAGTCTGAATTCTGGCTGATCCACTGTAGAGAGTCCATATGAGCATTCAGAATTCTGCAGATCTGCTGGGACAGGTCAATAGTGTCAGGTCTTTCAGATATACTCAGGTGCTCAATACTGTCCTTCAGATCCTGGGCCATTTGTTTCAGCTGAGCACCTGTTTTCTGCTACTTTGTAAATCCTCTCACACTCCTCATCTACATAATTTGCATAAACAGATCCATTGTCCTTCCCAGACTCCTCTAAAGAGTTCAAGAGATTTTCTAGTTTCTTCTACTGCAGCAGGACCAAATCCAATTCTTTTTCCAGTCTTTTCTGATCCAATTTCACTTTTTCCATTTTTCCATGTAAAATAGTCATCTTCTAACTGTTGTCAATCAATGCACAGTGCCAAGCATTGGCCTGGGTGACCTGGTGATGACCTCTTGATCCTCTAACTCAAGGTTCCATTTATTGATCAGACTGGCCAGCTGACCATATGGCATCACGGGAGTTATGATCAAATTAACAGTCGAAGTAAAAGGTGTAGAAGCAAAACCGACTGGAACAGTGTCATTAATCCCAATTGATAACACTGGTTTTCGACTGAAGGTAAAGCCAATAGCGATTGTGGTGGTGCTGGTGGTTGTGGTGCTGGTTGGTGTTGGAGGTGGTCCTGGTGGTGGTCATGGTAGTCGTTGACTTTGTAGTAGATGCTGCTCCACCCACTCTAGGGAATTTAAGTCTAAAGAACATGTGCTATCCAACTCTTATGAACTAAAAAACTGTAACAAAGCTCTTCTAATGAATACAAAAATAGGGAACACTCTCCAATTTGTTCAATAAGGTTACTATAAACTTAGTAACAAGACCAGAAGAGGCATGTGTGAGAAAGCAATTATACAGGTCAATTCAATCATGAATAAAAGTGGAAAAAATTACAAATGAAATATGATCAAACCAGATAGAACAATGTACAAAAAAGACAAAATTGGTGTTTGTTTTTGTTTCATCCTTTCCCCCCACCCCCCAAAATGCAAGCATGCTTTAACATTAGGGAGAAAAATTGTCTTAAATTTTCCATAGTAACTGATAAGAGATGAAAAATATGTAATCATTTAAATAAATGTGGTAAAAGCATTTGATACATATTAATTCCCAATCTAAATAGTCATCTAGGAAGAGTAAGACAGTTTGTCATGGTGTGTTGAGAAGGTTCATTTCCGGCAGTCCTGGAATTACCCTGAGCTGTTTTGCTCAAGTTCCTGCTTTTCACTAAGCTCTGGTCCCAGTACCTGAAACATGATGGTTAATAACGTTACCTTTGTAATGGTGGGTCTGAGGAGTTTTAGGGTGTTTTTTTTTTTTTATCAGCTCCTCAGCATTGTTTATTGGGAAGAGTGAGATTGATGAATTACATCTTGTGGGACCTCCAGAGAGCTCTTCTGTTGAGGCTGATTTTGTAGCGGGACTATGTCTATGTGACCAGCAAAATATGAAATACCCAGTGAGATTCCTGGACTCCATAGTTCCAAGGTGATCTATGCACATACAGGTGGTGCCTGCTACAAAAGAGATAGTGCTTACAGCCATAAGCTATATAGTATGTGAAGGTAGGAGCCTGTACCAGGCCTCTGCAGCCCCATGCTGCAAGACAGCCTTTGACAGATCCAAATTCTAATTCAGCACTGTTGTTAGATGGTTTCCTTTTTCTATAGCTGACAAATTATAGATTTGTATTGCTATTAGATTTCTTAACTATTGAATCCTGTTTTAGCACAGTTGGCATTACAGGTGAGATTGCTTAGAAGACGTCTGACTCATGCTTTTATAAAAACACGATGGGCGTTATTTAGAAAGGGAAAGGATGATTCTGATACACGGAATGAAAATGAACTATCAATGCAGAGGTGATTGCCAAGGTATACTTGACTTGAAGTAGCACAGGTGTTGAAATCAGTGACTGATAAGACTTTCCATTGCAATATACAAATGACATCCTGAATGCCAGGAGCTAGCAAAACTGGAAGACGAGTGCAAACTGATGGCAAGTTGGCTCAATCAGTTCCTAGTTGCTGCTTTCCGCGTTAGCAGCAGTGACAGTTCAGAGTCTCCTCAGTTAAACTTCATCCTCTCTGATTGGCTGGCAGAGCCCCCACCAGAGGATACTGGGCACCATAACACCTGATGGGTCAGCTGAGACCCATTGGAGCTAAGCTGATAATCCAAGTGGGACAAGTCAATGGTTGAGGGCAGGAGTCAGTAGGGGCTGTTCAGTGCCAAAGCAGAGGCAAATGCACCATTTTGTGATGACCTTGTGGAAATGGCTCCTGAGAATTTGGATCAAGTAGCAGCTTCCCTGGTTTGGAACACTGTTAAGGGGGATGTTTGCACGCATCTGGATGCTCCTGTGGCTGCTGTCTTTGTGGAGACAGTTCAAGAAGTCCTTGCTGACTGGAGTGGACTAAGGGGACATTCTTATTAGAGTAGGGTAATGGCTCTGCCCCTCCCTTGTGATTTACACTGTCAGTGTCTACTGAGGCTGCAGAAACGCTGCTGCTATAGTCAGTACTGGACTAGCCATACGACAGTGAAACAGGCTCCCAGTGGAGTGCCCCACGACCCTGGACACCATATGTGATTTTACTCTTAGGACCTCAAAGGACATAAAAG